TTTATGGATAAAAGTTTAATTTTATATTTAGAAAATGTCCATAAAATGTAATAGCATTAGCAGAATTGCCGAATAGGGTGCTGTTTATAACTTTGGGGATAAGATTGATTTGGGGGTTTAACTCACAAAATCAGATCATATTAAGATTAGAAGGATTCTCAGAAGTTATCTGCTAAATCCTGTCCTTTATGTGTAATATACTGATATTAGCAATTATATAAAAATACTCAAAGTTAATCAACTAATGATGAAAACAATAATGCAACTCATGGATACTGAAAGATTTCATTCCTATGTTCACTAATGGGAGTACTAATTATTAGACACTTATCTCCAATACACAGTACAACTTTTATTCAATACCACAATTTACTAACTTACCATCTATGTACCTCTAGCCAGGAAGTTCTCAGAAAGCGACAGTACCATTCCCATTTTTGTACAGCTGGCAAGTAGAAAGTTCTCCGTAAATGTCTGTGCATTAACCCCCAAGTGTTATAAGCAAGTAATTATTTATGCTTGCCATCAGAAAGGCCAATATCACAGTAAGAGCTGTCTCTGCCCAGTTGGTCCAGTTTCGACTGTTAAGGATAGGCTTTTAGTCTTATTTCTTGCCACTAGAGGGCAGGAAATGCTTTGCAAAGGGAAAACAATTCCTCTAGTTTTGTTGACTATTGAACTCCCCAGGAATAAATAACCTCATTACATGAAGAGCAAAGATAGCCTAAGTCTAAGATCTTTAGGAAAGCTATTTCATTCTTCACCTTTCCCCTTAAACATCTTGGCTTTATTGGTCAGTTAAGTTCAAGTTGATTCATTTGGTTTCTTAAGATTTTGAGACCCTTCCTACAGGGAACATCTGAATACATTCTTATAAAAATGCTCCCATTTAAAGTATTTTACACAAGGAAATACTGAATAGTTTCTCTGGTGTGAGAAACTGAAAATGTAAATAAGGATCAAAAGGTATAATAAATAATGTGAAATAGGAAGAAGAGGGGCAAAGGGGAAGGGGAAGTGGGAGGGGTAGAGGAAAGGAAAGAAGGGAATGGAATTAATATGAGCAAATGAAAAAATGGAAAAAAAGTCTTTGTAAATAGGGAGGGATGGAGGGGTTGAAGGGAGGGCAGGAGAAGGGGGAAAAATAAGAACCAAGATATATTACATAAAGGTACAAATTTCCAATGATGAATGTCATTATATTGTATACCTAAAATGTACCAATAAAATTAAGTTTTTAAATATTTTACACAAAGCAAACCCTAAAAATGAACTGTTGGGATCCTCATATTTATGAGACACCCAAATGGCCTCCTTTCATTTTTGTTTTATTTAGCCTCCTGATGAAAGAGTGCTCAGGTAGGGCCGGGGATTTAGCTCAGTGGAGCAGCACCTGCCTCATAAGCGCAAGGTCCTGAGTTTGATCCCCGGTTCCCCCCCCAAAAAGAGTGCTCAGCTTCTACAAGCTAATGTGACATCCTCACTCTTCCTTGACCTCTTAGGTAATCAGATTAGATCTCCTTAGTCTATAGTTTTCAACAGATGACACAAACTTTTGATTGTGTTCTTCTTTTTATATTTTCTCCTCTTTTAAAAATCACAGTCCCTTGCAGTGTGAGTGGAGTGACGGTGAACAATTTAGGGCGAAATGACTACCTCAGCGTTTCGTGGCTGCCAGCACCTGGTGATGTAGATAACTACGTGGTGATGCTCTCTCACTATGGCAAGGTGGTTCAGTCCCTCGTCATTGCCAAGTCTGTCAGTGAATGTTCCTTCAGTTCCCTCACCCCAGGCCGCCTCTACAACGTGACCATAACTACCAGGAGTGGCAAGTATGAGAATCATTCTTTTGGCCAAGAGCGGACAGGTAAGGATGTGTGAAGGTGCAGAGCTCCATAAAAACCACCTAGACATGTGGCTCAGGGCATCGCGGAGATGTAGCCATCCCATAATGATAGCACAGAAGGCAAATGAGATCACAAAATTGTGATGGAGTCTTTGCATTTTGATCCCCAAAACTTCTTATGCAACCAGATGTTACCTTTACAGGAAGATTAGCATAAGTTTTATGGCTAGAATTCATATTATATTCAAATAATGTAGCAAGTATTTCTGCTTAGGGAGTACTTTTTAGTAACTGGCTTTGCTAACCCTGTAAATGCTCTAATGATGTAGGTGTTATGATTCTCATTTTATATATTAGGAAATCAAGGTATGAGGAGGTTAAGTAACTTGCCCAACTGTCCATCTTGTTAAATGGCCTTGTTAAAGTTTCAGATCTTGGATTTAAATATTATTCTGATTGACTTAAGAGCCTACAAAGATTTCTGTGCTAAAATCTTCCATCAAATGTGTGTTGGTCAAGACTAGCATTTATCCTTTTTCACATAAGGTGAAAATGTGAACCTTTATAGTTCTGAGACTAGGAAGCATAAATCTTAGCACATGAATGTCAGGTCTTTGATGTGCTAGAAAGAACTAAATATAGATAGCTACCATTTTCCCAATATATTTATGCTTTGGGGTTGACTTCTGAGATTTTTGCTTAAGATTGACATCAACATTTTCTCAAGTCTTTTTCCTGAGCTCTGGATTTATTTTTTTGCCTTTAAAAATGTCTTTTTCCCATAAGATCTGGGACAATTGTTGTTATCCTATTACCTAGCACAGAATCTAAGGCTTAGCAGTCACTCAACAAGTATTTGTTGAATGAATAGCCATAACTCAGTGGTTTTTGGCTCTCACTTGGTGGGCCATGGGTGAATTTTAGACATGTAGCAACCCCTGAAATTACCCAGGAAGTTGTCAAGGATAAGAAATGTCTGTGTATTTCTTTGGAGAAAGAGTCCACAGTTTTTCTCAGATTCCATAGTTTTGCCCCAAAAGTGTAGAACCCCTGCCTTACATTGTTACAGAATGCTAAGATTGAGAAGATCATTAGAATGACCTAATCCCTTCTTCTCATTTGGAAATAAAGAAAGTCCAAAGGAAGTGTGGCTTCTCCAAGGCCACGTAGCTGTGATCAGTAGCAGAGCTCAGCCATTACATCATCTGTACCAGAAAGGGATATAGAGATTATTCCTACTTTCCAATGATTTAAAATCTAATTATACTAGTGATCACAATAACACCTTAAATCTGAAAAGCTGATTTCCACTTATGAAGCAGTTTTAAGTCAATGTATCATCCTGATCAACTTGGAGCCTAAAACTTCCTGGAAATTAAAACCTGTTTTATCCAATTGCTAACCCCTTGCTTCTGAATAGCATCAACTCAGGAATGTTGCCTATCCATGTGACTTCAATAATGCAAGATTCTTTTGCTAAGGTTTTTCTAAATGTAAGGAAAATGATCCTCTATTCAAAGCAACCTCTTGACTCTTCTACCAACATATACTTAGATTTGGTGCATGACTAACAGAAGCAAATTATTTTAACTGGAGAGTCATGTCTGAGTTGTTGTTTTGTTGATTTTGGCTGATTGTCTTAATGTCTTTTTCCTTTTCTAATGCTCTTCTATATTTTGAGTGAAAATGCCCATGTCTCTAGTTCTGTATCATGTCATCTTATCGTGCAGCAAGGCAGTGTTCACAAATTACTTCAGTTCCACCCGGAGAGTTTCATATTGACCTGACATGGTCTTCAGTCTAGTTTTTCTTCCTGTAATAATTGTTTTGCCTTCAGTAAATTGCCTGGATCATTGACATTTCTTAGCCCATACATACAATGCCACTTTAGAATTTTTTCTTAATTCTACAGTGACTAAATTCTAGCAACACTGTAATTGGCTTCAGGCAAATATTTTGGAAAAAAAAAAAAGCGCTTATCTGTACTTGCTCCAAGCCTGTGGTGAGCTATATTGTAATATAAAAACTAATCGGTAAAATGTAATCCAACAAAAATTGTTAATGCAACTTGTAAGTGTAGAGAACATTGTAATGTAGCTTAGATACCCAAATACTGAAATTTCTGGATCATTTCACAATTTGGGGGCAAGTAGAAGAGAAGAACACAGGTTTGGTATGTAATCAGAAGAGAAATCCTTTAAGGTATACTAAACACATAGAGAGATTTACAGGCCTAAAGGATATGTTAATATTGGGACAGGAGTTATACTCTCGATCTGAGATCATGCCTCTCTTCAGCACTCCTCATTAAAATTTATAATATCTGGCTATATCCAAAAAGAAATGAATTTGTGATCTGATAAACCAAATTTAGCCCTAAAAGAGCTATAAGAATAAGTTTAAGATCATTCTTTAAATACAGAACTGTCTTATTTTGAAGTGTTCCTAGTAGTATGCATTTACCTATATATTTATTGAGGGGACAACCATAGGTACACTGAACTGTTTGCTTAGATATTTATTGGAAAAAGCCTCAGGTACACAAAATAGCATTAATCATAATTCTTGGCTCAGAAAACCATGTATCAGTTCATACTTTTATTTTTTAAGCCATTTAGTTAGTAATTTTTAATAATTCAAAATGTACATGAAGAATGGTTACCTAAAATAAAAGCTAAGACCTTGACAATAATCTGTATGAAATTATGTTATTCCCACTTTACTTATTCACTCAGGATAACCAACATCTCAACTCTTGTTCATATCTCCTTTGCTTTCCATCTTGCATAGTCTGATTGCATCTATGTACAGGCCTAAAACTTTGCAGTTTTAGTTTTATATTTGCTTTAACTAAATAAAAAATGTATTATTTTTCAAAGATATTTTAATGCAATATATAATCTTTTGGGCTTTCTGTAGATTTTGCTTTTTCAGTTGTTATATTGATCAGATTCAGCCATATTTTGTGTTTTGATGTTAAGGGCAAGAACTCTATACTTTAATGAGTTAATTACAAGAAATTAGTTATGACTATTATATAACATTCTACTATTATATATTGTATTACTATAAAATTAAGTATACTATTATAAAATATGAACATTATATTATCCAATGGAAAACTATCTCCCACACTTGGTTTTACTAGATATTTCAATTTTAATATTCAGATAAATGCAAAATGGCATTTCATTGAGGTCTTGAATTTCCTTCATCACTAATAATGTAAAACATCTCTTTATATATTGATTAACCATATGTGTTTTCTCTTCTATTTTTATTTTGGGTGTTTATACTTTCTTTGGTAACTTTTTAACCACATCTTGAGTCACGAACATATTCTGCAATTATTAATATCTTCGCCATCATATTAATCATCAGTTATCATGTTTGATGCTCCATCTTATATGTGACATTTTGTTGCAGGCAAACAATAGGCTGTGAATACATTCATCAGTTCTGTTAAAAGATCCATTTAATCACTTCAAGTAGTGTAATAATCTTTTTCCTCCAGAAATTTGTGATCTAAAAGTTGAAGATTTTTCTTTAAAATGCACACATTAAAAATCTAGTCACTTTCTTTGATTGTCCTAGATTGTCATCTGTGATCGATTGTTCACTCAGAATCACTAAATCTTTCACTGTTCTCTATTCTCTTTTTCAGTGCCTGACAAGGTCCAGGGAGTCAGTGTTAGCAACTCTGCCAGGAGTGACTATTTGAGGGTGTCCTGGGTACACGCCACAGGGGACTTTGATCACTATGAAGTCACCATTAAAAACAAAAACAACTTCATTCAAACCAAAAGCATTCCTAAGTCAGAAAACGAGTGTGTATTTGTTCAGCTAGTTCCCGGACGGCTGTACAGCATCACTGTTAGTACAAAAAGTGGACAATATGAAGCCAGCGAACAAGGGAATGGGAGAACAAGTAAGCAGAATGATTGCAAATTGGTTGGACATGAAGGTTACTGAGTAACTAATTTATCTTAACCTTGAATATTTTTTACTTACTGGTTAGAAAGTTACATTCTCAGTAAATGTCATGACCTATCATTACAGAATATTTATTGGTAGGTAAAAGCCAGCATGATGAGGGAGAAAGAAGGCCAAATATTCTAGTTTTCTTCTATGTCTTCCTGCAATGTGGCATTAAAATTCTAAACGTCTTGCTTTATCTTAGGATTGAGTTCTTAACTCCTTTTATAATTACATTTTACCAACATGTGGAATATAGGAATTTTGTCAGGAACAAAAATCACAATTTTATTGGTTGCTTCCAATTTTTCTTGTTTAACTATGCATGAAATAGATCAAGTGTTTCATTTGGACAAGAGGGATGTTTGCCAGTTCCTTGAATGTGATTCATAAGTTATTGTGTAGGTAAACTCTGATCAGTTCCTTTCCTGAAGTATCTTCTCATTTTTCTCTCTAGTGCCAGAGCCTGTGAGGAATCTAACACTGAGGAACAGGACCACTGAGGACCTGCATGTGACTTGGTCACGAGCTGATGGGGATGTTGACCAGTATGAGATCCAGCTGCTCTTCAATGACATGAAAGTATTTCCTTCTTTTCACCTTGTAAATACCGCAACTGAGTTTTGGTTCACCTCCCTAACACCAGGGCGCCAGTACAAAATTCTTGTCTTGACCATCAGTGGAGATGTACAGCAGTCAGCCTTTATTGAAGGCTTAACGGGTAATTTGAAATACTGTTTTTGAACCAGCACAGATATAGTAGTGTACTTATGATGTTGGATACCCCAGGTATTTAAAATTAAAGGGAGATGTCAAGAGGGGGAAAGGAATCTTGATAGTGGCAATGACCTTGTCCAAGCTGGGTAACAAAGCAATAGCATGATGTGGTGGGGGCAGACAAACTTTCAGAGAAATAGCATTGAGCTGACACATAGCTGGTGCTTATGAGGCACACAGATTGTTATATTTTAATAAACAACTCTTAAATGGGTGTCACTTCTTTGAAACTCTCTTGGGAGTGTTATTATAATAGTATTTATTGACAGTTTACCATGAGCCACAGCAAAGCACTAAAGATCTACATTCTGTTCAATCCTCACAATTCTGTATGAGGTACTTTTACCTTTGCCACTTTTTCCAAAATAAAATTTGTAGAGGTTCAAAAATTTACCTATAGTCACACAGCTAGGAAATTCATACAACAAGACTTAGTTTGAGGCAATCTAATTAACCCCTTGTTACATTAGTGGCATTCTTCATTTCCAGTACTTGACTTTGATCTCTCTCTCTCTAAATGTTTCCCCATCAACCTCAGTTTAGGCAGAAAGGTCAGAGAAAAATGGCTAATTGATACCTTTTCTTTCTTGTGTACTCTTTCAAAAATGCCAAAATATAAAAAGCATGACAGCTCAGCTTAGCCTTCCTCCTTCCCTTCCCTGCTCTCTTTCTTTCCTTTTCAGTGCTGTGGATTGAACCCAGAGTCTTGCACATGCTAGGCAAGCACTTTCCCACTAAGCGACTATATCCCCAGCCCTGCATGAAAATTCTGGTTATAAATTTCCACAGACCATTCTCTATGTGACATTTTATTTTATTTTATTTTATTTTAGTGCCTAGTGCTGTCAAAAATGTTCACATTTCTCCCAATGGAGCAACAGATAGCCTGACAGTGACCTGGACCCCTGGCAGTGGAGATGTTGACTCCTATGTGGTGTCTGCATTCAGGCAGAATCAGAAGGTGGAGTCTCAGACCATCCCCAAGCATGTTTCTGAGCACACATTCCACAGACTGGAGGCTGGGGAACAGTACCAGATAGCAATTGCCTCGGTCAGTGGGTCCCTCAGGAACCAGAAAGATGCATTCGGGCGGACAGGTGAGCCTCCACCTGGAGAAGGGCTGTACAGTACAATGCCCCATGGTTTTCTGTAATAGAACAGTGAGTGGGCTTAGCTGTGTACAAATTGAAAAGTTCAAATTTTACATCTCCTGAGTTTGTACAGTTTACCATGGTTTCAAGAGGATTTCTCATTTTTTTCTGCACATTTTTTTTCTTAGTAGAGATTTTCAAAACAAATGAAAGCAACTGGAATCCAAATCACTTGAGTAAATTTTTATACTTGCTAAAGGATATAAATTTTTAATTTTAACCAGATTTGTATAACTATGAATCTTTCAAAATGTCATCCTTTTCTCAAAATTATTTTTTAAGAAAAAATATACTTTGCCATCTGCCATACCTGTGATAGCTAAAGAATAAGTATCAAATGAATGAACTGTGCCTATTTGTTTATATCAATGTCATTATTAATAGATTATTTTTAAAACAAAAAATAAGTACCTACAAAATGCCAGACATTTAAAATGGTATCTGGTCACGCTACAAGATAGAGATCATTGTCTCCATCTTACAGATGAGAAAAATAAGACTACAAGAGTTTATTAAACATCATCATGTTTATATGTAATATGAACTAGAGCTATAATTTAAATCTAGGCCCATCTGGATCCAGACCCCATGCCCTGTTTGCTGTAATACAATATTTCTTAGAAGCCTCTTATTCTCTTGACCATTTATTTAGCAGTGGTGCTTATGGCTTCTATACCATACCCTACTATGCATATATTTCATATCTATAACCATACTATATTCCTCTAACCTTATGTCAAGCACTGTATTAAAAAGTGAGAATTCATTAGGAAGACAGAGCCACTGACTAACAACTTTATAGTCTAGCGAAGAAGATAGAGACGTAAATGGGCAATTACTATACAAGTTTGGAATGTTATGGGAGCAAATAAAAAGAGTCAAGGAAGTCTTCTAGAAAGAAGTAATATATACACAGAGACCAAGAAACCTTCCAGGTGAAGTACAGATGTACTTGGTTTCAGCAGAAAAAGCAAAGATCTAGAGGTGAGAGAAAGCACATGGCATTTACAATACTAAACTAAAGAACGTGAGCCATGTGCCCAAGTGAGTAGATAAACCAAATCATGAAGAGCCTGTGTGGCTGGCGAGGCATTTTAGAATTACAGGGAGCCGCTGAAGTGCCCTTGGCATGGACTGGCTGTGAGAATATGCTAAGTGTGGTATGGAATTTAAAACAGTAGGAGTAATGAAGCATGGGGATGGGTGAGGAGCTGTTGCAATAATGTATTCCACGGGTGACATTGTCCTAATATAGTGACAGGAGAGAAAGAGAGAGTAGATAGATTCAAAAGAAGAAAGATTTAGGACACAGAAACTTTAAGATTTGTGTTTGATTACATGTGGAAGGGTGAGAGTGACCATCTATGTTTCTGACTTGGGCCAAAAGATAGAAACAAAAGATAATAACATGATTGGGGCAAGGAGATGAGCAGTCTGATTTAATTCAATTTGATTTGATTTAATCTAAGGGTTTTTCTCAATTAGTTACTTCACCATAAGTGATAGAAGCTGAATTTTCTTGCTTCTCTTGTTCCTTTGTAGTTCCAGCATCTGTACAGAGAATAAATGCAGATAATGCATATAGCAGTCATTCCTTAATAGTAAGTTGGCAAAAAGCCATTGGTGTGGCAGAAAGATATGATATCCTACTTCTAAATGAAAATGGGATCCTTCTGAGCAACACATCAGAGCCAGCTATTGCTAAGCAGCACAAATTTGAAGATCTAACACCAGGCAAGAAATACAAGATACAAATCTTAACTGTCAGTGGAAGTCTCTTTAGCAAGGAAGCCCAAGCTGAAGGCCGAACAGGTAATAAGCATAACTTGATGTTTTGTACCAGATATCTCCTTGTTTATACTGTTGTATATAAACCACAAGATGGGAAGGATGAAGTGATGTTGGAGGATATGATATATATATTTCTTGACATAGCAGGAACATTCACCCTGACTTACCACTTCCACATCAGTCAGTCTAGCTATACTGGCTGCACCAATTCAGGTTTTTTATTAAAACTGGCACCATTAGTACCCTATTGCTAATGTAAGAAATTGCCATAAACTTGATGACTTAAAACAACACAAATTTATTGTCTTATAGTTCTCTAAGTTAAAGTCTGAAAATGCGATTAAAATTAAGGTGTCGTGTGTCAGCAGGCCTATGTATGTTCTAGAGACTTTTCGGGGAGAGTCTATTCCTTTTTCAACTTCTGGAGACTCCACATTCCCCAGCTATGACATGTTGTAGCTACAATCTCACTCCTACCTCAGTATCTGTTGTTATGTCTCTCTCTGTCTCTGCTCTCCTCCCCTCCTCTGTCATTGTTTAAGGACTCTTGCACTGGGACAGAATGTGAGCACCATAGAGCAGGAATCCTCAGTTCTCCACCACTGCCTCTCTCTGTGGCCAGCTGCAGGTGGGCCCTCACCACTACCAGGAGTGAGAGCTTGCTCCTTTAGTTTTCCACCACTGTAGTTCCCTGTGCCCATCTTCCCCTGAGAACAACCATTTGTGGGCCTATACCCCAGTCAGGATGAACCAACACCAGTTCTCAAACTATTCTAAAAATATAAAAAGGTGGAAATTCATCCAAATCCATTCCTCAAGGCCAGAACTACTCTAATAACAAAACTAGACAAGGATCCAACAAAAAGAGAACTATACATCAATATATCTAATGAACAGAGACATAATAATTCTCCACAAAATACTAGCAAACCGAATCCAACAGTGGAGCAACAAGATAATTCATTGTGATCAATTGGGATTCATTGCAAGGATGCAAGGGTAGTTCAACATAAACAGGTCAATAAATATAATACATCATATGAACAAAATAAAGGAGAAAATCAAGATTATTTCAATAGATGCAGAAAAAGCATTCAAAACAATTCAACATTCCTTCGTGATAAAAATTCTGAACAGGGCCAGGGATTTAGCTCAGTGGTTCTGCCGCCTGCCTCGCAAGTGCAAGGACCTGAGTTTGATCCCTGGTACCAAAAAAAAAAAATTCTGAACAAATTAGGTGTTCAAAAACATACCTCAATATAATAAAGGCTTTCTATAACAATCTGTTAGCCAGCGTCATACTTAATGGTGGTGGAAGCCAAAAGCTTTCCTCTAAGATCTGAAACAAGAGAAGATGTCTGTTCTCACCATTCTCATTCAACATAGTACTCGAAGTCTCAGCCAGAACACTTAAGCAAGGCATACAAATAAAAAAGGTGGAAGTCAAGTTATTCCTGTTTGTAGATGATACGATTCTATCTATAGAAAAACCTAAAGACTCCACCAAATGACTATTAGAACTGATAAATTAAGTAAGTTGCAGGATGCAAAATCAACGTACAAAAATCAGTAGCATTTTTATACACCAGTAATGACATTGCTGAGAAAGAAATCGTGAGTGGAATCCATTTGCAGTAGCTACAAAGAAAATAAAATATCTAGAAGTAAATTCAGCCAGGAAATGAAAGACCTCTACAATGAAAATTATAAAACTCTGATGAAAGAAATTGAATAAGACACACACATAAAAATGGAAAGATCTCTCATGTCCGTAGATTGAAAGATTAATAAGGTTAAAGTATCCATACTACCCAAAGCAATTTATAGATTGATTACAATACCCATCAAACTACCTATAACATTCTTCATAAACTAGAATAAAATCCTAAAATTCATATGGGAGCTAAAAATCCTATAGCCAAACCAATCTTAAGCAAAAAGAACAAAGTTGAAAGTATTATACTCCTTGACTTCAAAATATACTACAATGCTATAGTAATCAAAACAGCATAATATTGGCATAAAATAGACACACAGGCCAAAGAAATAAATTAGAGGACCCACAAATATCCCCACACAAGTATAGCCAATTGATTCTCCTCAAAGGTACCAAAACATGCATTGGAGAAAGGACAGCCTCTGCAATGACTGGTACTCAGAAAACTAGATAGCCAATGCAAAAGATTGAAACTTGATCCCTATCTCTCACCCTATATAAAAATAAAGTCAAAGTGAATCAAAGATCTAAATGTAAAACCTGAAACTATGAAACAACTAAAAGGATATGAGAAATAGCTCAAGACATCAGTATAGCCAATGATTTTTTTTATACAATCCCAAAAGTATAAGAAACAAAAGCAAAAATAGACAAAAGCGATTATATCAAACTAAGAATTCTGCACAGCAAAGGAAACAATCTCTAGAGTGAAGAGACAGCCTAAAAAATGGGAAAAATACTTTTTTATACCATTCATCTACCAAAGAATTAATAGCCAGAATTTTAAAGGGACTCAAACAATTAAATAATATCCAATTAAAAATGAACAAAGAATATGAATAGACACTTCTCAAAAAGAAGACATTCAAATGGCCAACAAATTTATGGAGATAGATGAGGATTACTAGAGACTGGGAAGGTTGGAGAAGAAGATAGAGCAAAGCTAGGTAATGGGTACCAAAACACAATTAGCAGAGGTAATAACTTCTGGTGTTCTATAGTACAGTAGGAGGAATATAGTTCACAATAACCTATTATATATTTAATGAATAACTTGAAGAGAGAAGCTCAAAGGCTCCAAACACAAAATAATGAAGAGGAGATGGAAACGTTAATTACCTGGATTTGATCAGTACATATTGTATACTTTGATTGAATTATCACATGATACCCCAAAATATGTAAAATTATTATGTATTAATACAAGTTAAATGTTTAAGAAGATAGATTTACTCTGATTTGATCAATGTACAGTATGTATGTATTAAATTATCACATTGTATTCCACAAAATTATACAATTAAAATAATAACTATAAAATTTTTTAAAGCTGAGGTTGTAGCTCAGTGTCAAAGCACTTACCTAGCATGTGTGAGGTCCTGGGAGAGAGAGAGAGAGAGAGAGAGACTGTTTTCATCAGAAAAAAACTTGTAATTATATCAGTCAGCCCCCGGACAGTCCAAAATAATCTTCCCATCTCAAGATCTGTAACTTCATCACACCTACAAAGTCCTTTTTGCCATACAAGGTAACATATTCACAGGTTCTAGGAAGTAAGATATGTATTTGGGAGGCCATTATTCTGACAGCCACACTAGCCTAATTGGGTATTTATTTATTAAGTGCCTAAGTCTGAAGGAGTCTGATGATATTGACAGGGACATAAAGATAAATTAAGTGTGGTTCTTATCCTCAAAGGAAGGACTGACTAGTGAGGGAGACAGACACATGGACAAATAATGGTGATATATTGTGATAAGGATTGTATATAAAAGAGGAATGGCCAACATTCAGGGAAACATAGACATCGGTTAGAATTGAGAAGTCTTTTAAAAAGTAGCATTTCTGTATAGTCATGATGGACAAAGCAGTTCCCCATGCAGGCAGGTGATAAAGCACCCTGTGCAGACAGACTAATCTGTGCAGAGGCCAGTTGGTTGGAAGAGAATAAGTTGTGTGTAACTGAAGAGTGTGCTGCATGAAAGAAAGCTAAAGTTGCCAAGCCAGATTAGGGCCAAATTATACCTTTCCTTGGGAGTTTGTTTTTTTTTTAACTTGTAAGCAGTGAGAAAGCAATAAAATCTCAGCCAAAGAGTAATCATTTTGTAGTAAAAATTTGTACCTTAGAAAAGATAAGTCAGATGGCAATGGGGGATGGATTAAATGGAGAAGTTACCAAAGGTGGGGAAACTTGTTCATTAATTTTGTCATTACAGAGCAACTACTACATATTAACACTGTTCTGACTGCTGGATACACAGAAGTAAATTAAAAACAACTGAGTCATGAAGCTTATATGCTAGTAAGGGAGAAAGGCGATTAACAAAATGAGAAAAACGTACAAGAGATTCAAGAAGAAAATTAAAGTCAGAGTAAGATAGTGTTGAGGGTCATAAATTTGGATAGTGCAATCCTCAAAGACTTCACTGAGAGCATGATATTTGAGTAAAAATCTGAAAGAAATGAGAGAACCATGTAAATACCTGGCAAAGACTCTCTCCAAGCAGATCTAATAGTAAGACCAAGGCTCTGAGTGGGCATGTGCCTGGCCTATCAGAAGAACAGTAAAAAGGCTGTGTGCCTGGTGCAGAGTGAAGACAAAGAAAGGGAAGAAAGACACAGAAAGGTAATGGAGATGATGAGACAACTGCAAGTAAAGGCTAAGAAGGGTCAAAAACTAACCCGAAGCAGGGTTGTTGATGAAGAATTGTGGCTATATTAAAGAAATATTGCTGCATTAGGTAAGGCGGCAAATGGTGGCTGTGTTCATTATAAAAGGAGGAGTAGTAGATTCCAGAGTTTCTACCTGGGGTGTCTGGTAGAATGTAATGTCATTAATTAAGGGTAAAGAAGCGAGAAGAGGAGGCTTGGGATTTAGCTCAGTGGTTTCCCCACCTGCTGCGCAAGCACAAGGACCCAAGTTCAATCCCCGGTACCCAAAAAAGAAAAAAAACTTATAGCGAGAAGAGTACAGGTCAAGGAGCAATCTCCTCAGTTCTGTGCTGAACTGGATATACCCAAACAGTTGCAAAGAGAGGGAAGCCTAGGCAACTGGGAAAAAAATGGATCTGAACTCAGAAGTGAGACAGACATGAAAATTCAGTCCAAAATGCTAGTTAAATCCATAAAGGGAATGAGATTAAATGCTTAATTAGTATCATAGAGTAGGAAAGAGACAAAGGATGGATCTATGGAGAAAAGAAACCTTTAGGGGATTGGAATAAGGAGAGGAGAAAGCAGAAAAGAGCCAGAGAAAGAGTACTTGGGGTGAAGGGAAGAGAATCCAAGTGAAATCAACCCGTGTCCTATTCTGTTTCTCTGGACATCTTATGACGTTCGGGTAATCAACCAGCATGTGTGCCAGCAGTGTGAAAGTTGCTCATTTCTAGCAGCTATTTTTAGTGGTTTTGGCTTTCCATATTGTTTCTCTTTCCCACATCCCTAAATCTAGTTTTCTCTATTTGTTTTTCCCTTTTGTTCCCACCCACTCTCTTCTCCTTACAGTTCTTCTTTACTTCCAATAACCATGTCTTAGTCGTTAATCTCAGATCTAATTCTCAGTATTAGAGAAATGTTTAGTCACCTAGATTAGATTCATATTTATTCTAAACCAAAATAAAAGTCTATGAAGATGATTTCTGTTGTAGTTTGAATCTGGAATGTCCCCCACAGCCTCATACACTCAGAGGCCAGGCTTTTGGAAGGTGACTGAGTCATACACTCATGGGTGGGCTGATGTATTCTTAGGAGATGGGACCTGGTTGGAGGAGATATGTCACTGGGTGCATGACCTGGAAGAGTATAACTCCCTCCCTGGCTCCCCTATTCTTTCTCTGCTTCCTGGCCACCAAGAGTAAGCAGCTTCCCTCCATCCAGGCCTTTCTACTGTGATGATTCTGCATTTGAACCTGATGAACATGGACTGAAATTTCTCAATTGTGAGCCAAAATCAGTCTCTCCTTTAAGTTGCAAGTGTCACCTACTTTATACCAGCAACAAGGAAAATGATAAGACAATTTCCCGTTGCTCTTGTTTTTGGCTCTCTTGTGTATTTAAAAATAATAATAATAGTTTCAACACCAATAATTGACAAACTTCAAGATTTCTTTGTTTTCCAGTCTCTATGATATCACATTGTTTCTTGTTTCTGTTTTGGATATCAAGTGGGACTTATTGGAAGGCATGATTAAAGAGGGAGCAGAAGAAGCCTTTATGAAGAAGCCTCTTTTTTTCACTTGAAAACCACAATATTTATTTTTCCTGGAAAAGAAAAGAATCCCAGAATCCATTTTATCAAGTGGATGTGAAAACATCCCTATTCTAGCTCCCAATATAAAACTTCCATTCCCATTTCAAAGAGCTTCTGTTGCTTATCTCTGAACCTCTATTCATTTTCATTAGACAGAATTGGGAGGGTGTCACTGGAACTCCCGTGTCATTATGCCGAGGTGAGTCCAGACACAAAGTTGCTGGGACACATCATCATTTCTTAGTGCTACTGTTCCCACTGCTGGATTTGCTGAAGCTCCTACACATCTGAGGAAAGTGCACGGTTGGGGTTCTTTCTGTAGGACCATATAATCCCAAATTCCTGGTGGTGACTGATTTCCAAAGTGGTTTGACACTAGGAAACGAGCTAAAGATGGGTGTTTTTGAGTGGCTGCCCTGGGGAGGTTTGCTGGTAGCTTTACTTTCTCCAAGGGCACTGTGTGGCTCTGGCACATTCTGCTGGCACAGCAGGTGTGCCTTGGGTTCAGTTTCAGCAGGGGCATCCCTTTGGTTCAGTTCCAAGGCTTCTAACTTCACCTGAACTGTAGACGCATCAACATCAGCATCCCCAAACACTGGCTCTGGGGACTGGCCTTCAATTGTCCTCAGGGTGCCACCTTCAGAGTTGCTGCCTTCTGTTTCAGCTGTAGCGACTGGACAACTGGAGGAGAAGTCCTCCCCTGTCCCCAGGCTGTTGGTCTTGCAGCCCTCATTCTGCTCCTCTATCAGCCCTATGGTGTCACCACAGCCCAGTTGGCTCTTGGTCCTTGGCAGGTTCTTTTTGTGAACTCGGATGTGAGTTCGCCGTGGAGAGTTGAGCTTCGTCTTAAGGTCTTCATAGTGGACAGGAGATGCTTTGCCTCCTGCATGGCCAGGGATGTGGATGACTGCGTTCTTGGCAGCTCTGTTCGTCATCTTCATCTTCTTCCCTAAAAGAAGGTGGTTTATAACTGGAGAATTGTTTACCTGAGATGGGAGAATGGTGGTCACTGGCCCTTTGTCTGCCCTGATGTACACCTGATGGACCTGCTGCTGCTTCTTTTTAATTCGAGAGTACTGCTGCTTCAAGGTGTTCATGTCTGTGGTCATGCATTCCATCATCATGCTGTTGAATGCCACATGATATTCACTTCAACAGGAATTGATGGCTCCCGGAGTCAACTCTGTAATGTTGTTGGACCTCAGACTCTGGTCTTCACTGGCCTCTTTAATCTGCTTTTGGTACTTCTGAAGTTCAGGCACCAGGAGCCCACTGAAGGGTTCAAGACACCCCATTGCATTAGCAATGGCATCTTCATCATCATGAGTAGCATGGACCTGCTTCTCATTCAAACAACTATGATTGGGGATGTATTTGATCCCATAACCATTGGACATCAGCCACCATGACTTCAGGTTCATCCACATTAAGCTTGGTGAAGCCTCATTTCTTTGAGATATAGATTAAACTTGATCCTGCATAGGGCCTCAGTCACTTGTTCTGAAGTTTGGTGTGGGTGGACATGGTGACTTGACCAATGTAAACTCAGGCCACCATCCCCTGGGGCTTCCTGAAAGTACTTGTCTGAAACCTACGTTGGGAATACCATGAGATCACAGACATGAATATCCACTGAAAAGGGTTGTTTCCAAGGTCCCTTAGGGTATTCCATGCAAGCATAAGGTGGCCAGCAGTATAAAAAAGGCTGCTTATTACAGCCATTGTAAGTCAGCTTATTTTAATGAAGGGACCATGTGTTTTGGGTTGAGTTCATTTACACAGACATTAATCCTACAGTATGGCTATGGCACACCAGAACTCTGTCTTATGCTCTCTCTCCTTTACTTTTCTAGTCCCAGCAGCTGTCACCAATCTGAGGATCACAGAAAATTCCACTAGACATCTATCCTTCAGCTGGACTGCTTCAGAGGGGGAACTCAACTGGTACAACATCTTTCTGTACAACCCAGATCGAACTCTTCAGGAAAGAGCACAAGTTGACCCACTAGTCCAGAGCTTCTCTTTCCAGAACTTGCTACAAGGCCGAATGTACAAAATGGTGATTGTAACTCACAGTGGGGAGCTGTCTAATGAGTCATTCATATTTGGCAGAACAGGTAATACTCACACCCAGCAGTGCTGAATACCAAGGAAATTGTTTTCACTGGCTCTTCCCTGATTTGGTCTCAGTTTCCTGTTCTATCCAGGAAGTAGGTAGCTTTATAGGAATTTGTGATTTTTCAGCCTTTGTGGGCCTAAATTAGATCTTTGATTATTTATGAATAATTTGTGGCCAGTTTTTGTACTGGTTTCTGTTCTTTGCCTCCACTTATTTGCCTCATAGGATTTGGTGAAAAATGAATCTGGCTCCTCTACTTCCTATCAAACTTTACAAGAAGATTGTAACCCATCATGGTTCTATTCAGTCAATGTTCTTCAGCTTTATACAAGAAATAGATGGAACAGAAGGCAGGACCAAAGAAAGGCAACCACAAATTGGTCAAAGTGACTGCTATGAATTTGAAACATAGTACTAGATAAAAGAAAATGAATAGTTTCAAGAAGAGAGAGATGTCTCTGAGAAATGGAATCTCCTTTTTTTGCGTAATTTCATCTCTTTTCTCCTATTCAACTTTGTATTGTGGTTTGACAGTAGTGTTTGAGTGTTCTTGTGTGCCAAATGTATGGCTCATTCCTGGAATACGACAGTGAACAAGGCACCCAAGACTCCTTGTCCCAGAGAGCTCTACACTAAGGGAGAGAAGAACTAAGACAGTAGATTTTAAACAGATATCACTTTGGAATTCCTTAAATTCTACGAAAGAATTTTAAAATGTGTCATGACAGTGACTTGGAAAAACAAAAACCACTTTAAACAGAGAAGGCATTTCAGCTGAGACATGAAGGTGACCGAGTTATGTGAAGAACATACTCCAAGGGCATCCACGGAAGTTCTTCTGAAGAAGACAAAAAAGATCAGTGATAAGCGTAAAGCATAAATCGAATTACCTAGATATTATCATTTCCAAGGCAACCTGCCCCTGTCCCATTTCCCTTATCTGTTCATTAATGTGTAAAGTTACCAAAAGGGAGCAACAGTTTTCACCGTCTGAAGAATAACAAAGCTTATGTACCCATAAAGCAGGTGGTAGTGTGACTAATTTGTACTTGCAAAGTAGTAGGAGTGGCTATAGAGTCTTTTCTTAAATAAAGACATAGCAACACAGATTTTGATAAAAATTATGAAAAAATTTAGAACCAAAAGGCAAATAAACAGGAAATAGAGATTCAGAGAAAGATGCTGTGGGATGGTGGCTGCCAGCAGGACGGGTCAGCATGAGAGGAGATTGAACCACTTATTAACATTTTCTGAGTCTTTTATAACCTAAGTGGCAAATTACTTTATGCCATCTTTATGAAGATTTTATTTTACCTCTTTGTCAAAGTGTAAGCATATAGAAGTCACCACCTGTTTTGTTTTGTTTTAATTTATACCACATCACTAGCCAACATGCCCCTTAATATAAGTGACCTGAAATGTGGGTAAAAACTGACCCCACAACACATACTGCTCATCTATATGCCCAGAGTAGCTTATATTCTAACCTGTAGGCCAAAATGCCTTTGGCTCTGCTTTGTTCTCAGTAAGAGCTTTTCTTCTGTTTAAGTCCCAGCCCCGGTGAGTCATCTCAAGGGATCAAATGGAAACATGACAGATAGCCTTTGGTTCACCTGGACTCCAGCCCCTGGGGACCTCGACTTTTATGAACTGATTCTCTACAATCCTAATGGCACTAAGAAGGAAAACTGGAAACACAGGGACCTGAAAGAGTGGCGTTTTCACGGCCTTGTCCCTGGGAGGAAGTACACACTGTGTGTGGTGACTCATAGTGGGGATCTCAGCAACAGGATCACAGGGGAGGGCAGAACAGGTAAGAAACCCAATCACCAGTGACCAAGTGTTGGAGAGAAATAGCTTTATTTTAATTTAAAGACATTTTTCATTATGATTTTAATAATAAAATCAATGATGATGTGCCAAGTACTAATCCTTTCAAAGGCATTATGTACAGATGATAAAAGATACACACTTTAAGAACTAGGCCCTTAGCTTAGCACGGCAACTTACCTGTATGAAGATAGTAGGTCACCAGATATCTTTAAATTTCAGCTTTCATATCTGTAAAGTGGAGATAATGATATATATCATCATTATGTTGCTATGACCTGTGATTCCTAAATGTTTTTATGTCTTGGGCACACGTAGATAATATCTGTATGCCACCCTGGGATCAGTCAATGAGACCATCTAAAACTGAGCATAATTATCTATGAGTCCCCACCCTACCCCCAAAAGCTAATGGAATCAACACTTTCCCACACCTGTAATCCATTCGGGGCACATTCATGTCCTACAGTACCCTGGTAAGGAAGTTCTGATTATGAATACTGAAAGGTATGTAAAACACTTGAGGACAGTGCCTTATACATACAAAATAATATAACTTAAAGCCCCTACTGCCCTTTAACCAAATTGACCTTTCCTACAAAGTACATTAAAAACATGTCTGATGTCATTCAGTGATCTTATTTGTTTTTGTTGAGCACTGATGTGATTATGTGGCTTTTCATTTTTCTCCTACACACAGCCCCAAGTCCTCCCAGTCTTTTGTCATTTGCTGATGTTGCAAATACATCCTTGGCCATTACCTGGAAGGGACCCCCAGATTGGACAGACTACAATGACTTTGAGTTGCAGTGGCTCCCCAGAGATGCACTCACAATCTTCAACCCCTACAGCAACAAAAAATCAGAAGGACGCATTGTGTATGGTCTTCGTCCAGGGAGATCCTATCAATTCAACGTCAAGACTGTCAGTGGTGATACCTGGAAAACCTACAGCAAACCAATTTCTGGATCTGTGAGAACAAGTATGACATGTTTTTCTACTCTTCATTTTTAAATGGAGTGAGAGGAAATGAGGCTTGATTTGAATCCACATTTTATTTCAGATTCATTGGATTTGAATTCAGACAGATGAGAATATATATTTGTTCATTCATTAAGAATGAACTGGACAATGAAGAAGTAATTCTGCTCACATGGAGCTTTGGTTGAGGGTATTATTATTATTAAAAAGACAATTACACTTTGGATGTGATGAGGGAAATAAATGTACTATAGAAAATCATGTTGGGGACAACTAATTCAGTACAAGGGAACTTCCTAGAAGAAGAAACATCCAAACTAAAACCTAAAGAGAGCAGAATTAACCTAGTGGAACCAGGGAATAGAAGAGGAGAATATTCCAAGTAGAGAGAATAAAATATTGCAAGACCAAGGGACAAAAGAAAGTTTAGCTGGCCAGAGCATGAAGATGAGGATGAAGAGAATGAGATTGTAAAATGTCTTGTATACTGGTGTCAACTTCAACTTCATTAACAGAGATTATGCTTAAGCATATTAGAAATTCACTCTGGGTGCACTGTAGAGAATAGATTAAAAGGGGTAAAACTAAAAACAGAGAAACCAGTTATTATCCAGTAAACGTAGCTTTCAAGATCAGCTCAGATAGTTATTGGTTGTCAGTAAAATACATGGTTGAAAATTGGAAATTTAAGCAAGAAATTGTTTCATGTATTCAATAAACAGTGAAACTGTGACAGGTAAAACTTGTGTTCCACGTTGTATCCAAAGAACAGTTTGGGATCAGATAGTTGTTTAAGAAAACCTGAGCATTTTAGTTTATAACAAGCTCAGGCTGAGTTTTCAGTGGCTTACTATGATCAGGGTCTTTTCCGTCTGTCAAGCAGAACACCATCAAAGTTTGTGGGTATTCTGTCTTGGCTTGGGGGGTGGTATTTTGTTTTATATTTTGCAGTGCTGGGGATTAAACTGAGGGCCTTGAGCATCCTAGGCAAGCACTCTGCTACTGGCTCCAACTCTCTGCCCTGTTTTTTCCAGCTTTTGTTTTCTTTGCTGCAATGCATCAAAATTCTTAATAATTTTTGAACAAGAGACATCACATTTACATTTGGCACTGGGCCATGAAAATTACGTAGCCTTTCATATCTACAAGGCTTATAAGTGAATATATAATTTTAATTTGGGGGAGGGGAAGATTAAATTAAGGGGAAATGATAAAATTTGTACCAGGGACCATAAAAACTCCACAAGGAAATTGAAAGGCTTTTTTTTCTGTTCTTTGTCCTTAAGGTTCATCATCCCTATCTTTTGCCTTTCTGTGTTTATCATACCCACGACATGCAACATTTTTGTGCGCTTTCTAAATGAGTTGATTTCATTGATTATTGCTATCTGGGAACTGTTACTGTATGTTGTGCTATGGCCAAAAGAACAGTGAGAAGGATTTTAAATTTCTTTATCAAAGCTTTTGACCCCTGAAATGAAGTTGGATGACCTAGACCAGTGATGGCAAACCTTTTATAGAGCTTTTAATGACAAAACAGCCCACTGCATCACATGTGCCATAGGTTCACCACTACTGGTCTAGCCCTAGGTTTTCAAGTTCTATTCCAGAGCCTGAGGGTTTCTTAGAAGTTCCTGGAGAAAGAGGATATGCAACAAGAGTTCTTGGCTCCACTCTGGCATGGCACCTTTGATTCCCAATTCACACTTAAAATACAGGACCAGAGCCCCCTCTGATTTTACATGTTGGGGATCCGAGCACTTTTCTTTTTTAAATAGCTCAGTTGCTACAACTGAAATTCAAAAACTATTTATCTAAACTGTATAGTTTACCTTCATAGCAAGTAATTAGAGATGGTTGACGTAAAGTGGGCTGGGGAGGCTTAGGAGTTTGGTTATTAACCTCCATGGCCTCATAAGGGCTTCTCTTTCAGACTGAATCTTTTGCTGTGTCATTCACAACCACAAACAAGATTAGCTGCCATTTATTGAGTTTCTATTGTGTGTTAGCTACTATGTCCAACAGAAGAAAACTGAATGGTGATAAACATAGCAGGATGGAATAGTATGACATATGTGAGGAGTCACAGAAATGTCTGTGTCTGCAGCATAGCATGTGAGCAGGGAAGGGCAGGCGAGCAATGGAGAAGGGAGACAGAAATCAGGGCTTGGAGGAGAACAAGTCAGTAATGCCAGTTTATAATTCCATCACTGTAAGAGCTCACATCTATTGAGTAGTTAGTGTGTCTGCCACTGTTCTAGGTGGCTGTGCATGTTTCAATGATTGAATCATTACAATAATCATATAATGAAGATACTTTTAACATCCTCACTTGACAGATGAGACATAGAGATGTAATTTGCTCAAGAGTGCACAACTAGTATATAGAAACTGTAATCAACCTGGCTGAGCTGCACTTTTAGCCCTGAGCTAGTCTGCCTCACTTTCTATCTGACCTCTGTCACTTGATTTCATGTGCATTTGTATTTCTAACATGTTGTCACTTGATGATTCTCTAAAGGGACAACATTTTAACTTTTGATGTTTTTTCAAATCAGGGCCTGGCAGCCAGAAATTCCCTTGAAGATCTATGAGCATTTTCTCCTCAAAAAACAATCTAAGAAAAATGTGAGAACTACTTCTTTAAATCTCAGAGTTAGTTGAACCTAAGGGAGCTGGAAAGCACGTGTCAGAATGCTTAATTGTTCTTCCCTTCTGCTTTAGAGCCTGACAAGATACAAAATCTTCACTGCCGCCCTCAGAACTCAACAGCCATTGCCTGTTCTTGGATTCCTCCTGATTCAGACTTCGATGGGTATAGCATTGAATGTCGCAAAATGGATACCCAAGAAATTGAGTTTTCCAAAAAGCTGGAGAAAGAAAAATCTCTGCTCAACATCATGATGCTGGTACCCCATAAGAGATACCTGGTGTCCATCAAGGTGCAGTCAGCCGGTGTGACCAGCGAGGTGGTTGAAGACAGCACCATCACAATGATAGATCGTAAGTGTCTCTGCAGGTTTTCTTGGGTCCCTGCCACATGGGGTTAGGGCTCTGCCCTTCTCTAGCCCATCCATTTGTGTTCATTTGTGTACAATTCACTTGTACATAAGCTTGTATCATTGTCACTTGAAGAAAAGGACCCAAAAGGATCCAGAAAATGGAAACATTTTTATGGGTAAAGTGTGCTGAAAATAAACAAGTTAAATGATTTTAAAGTACCTGAATGAGTTAGTATTTAAATACATCACTTTACCTGTTATAGTTAGAGCTATAATGGAGCTTTTAAGCAATTTGATGCTACAACTTCAGGAAATCCTGCTGGGGAGCTGCTTCTTTCATTATGTCTAATGTGCCACCGGGAAATCACGTCCTCTACTGCTTCCTTTCAAGGGAGGAGAGAATTTCTTGATCACAAGCTTTAGGCACACACCCTTTCTCTCTGTTACACACACACACACACACACACACACACGCACATGGAGTCTGGTGTCTGGTGTAACTGACTGGAGGCCTTTGTTCCACTTCTTGCTTAGGAGGTAAAAGCAGCACTGTGACACCGTTGGTTCCTTTCCCACTTCTTTTCCAGGCCCGCCTCCTCCACCTCCGCATATTCGTGTGAATGAAAAGGATGCACTAATTAGCAAATCTTCCATCAACTTTACTGTCAACTGCAGCTGGTTCAGTGACACCAACGGAGCTGTGAAATACTTCACAGTGGTGGTGAGAGAGGCTGATGGTAAGTTTGGAGGAGTTAATGAAGTCTGGTAAGACAAAGAGTTGACTTCTCAGAGGTTGTATGGGGGTTACTTCCGTGACAAGTTCTTAAGAATACTAAACTTAATCTTTGTATCATTTAGCTCTGTCTCTGTTGGATACAAGAAAACGTAGCAAAAGACTGTTCCAAGGCTCTTTTAGCAATCAAGTCTATTATCCTTGAGGTTTAATTAATAAATGGGAGAAGAGGAAAAAAGAATAGCAACTATAATAATAACAATAACCAGTCTTTCTTGAATTCTGACTATTTGATAGGCATTGTTAGAAATACTCTGCATGTATTGACCAGTAAAATCCTTTTCACTAATCATCAGTCTTACACGCCTGCCCCAAGACTTACGTGTGCCAGGAAAGCACTACCACTAAGCTACAAGCCCACCCCATTACTTATAAATGGAATTCACTGTTCTTTCATTCTACCATTAAACAATAATTCTCTTCAACCCTCTCTGTCTCTAATATGGTTTTTTTTCTTTTCCTTTTTCTTTTCTTTTTTTTTTTTTTTTGGTACCAGGGATCAAACTCAGGACCTTGCACTTGCCAGATAGGTGTGGCACCACTGAGCTACATTTCTGGCTCTGGCTCAAATATCTTGATTGACCATACACCCCCAATTCACCCACCTACTCACAAAAATGTCCAAAAGTTTGAAAGAGGGAAAACTTCATGAAGAACATTTCTACTTTCTCAAATAAATTTTGAATAGTATATTTTATTCTCTAGTTTCCTAAATTACTCAGTGGCTACCTAACTCCTACAGGTTAGACAAATACTACATAATAGTTTTGCAACATTCTATACAAACATAGGGTGTGATCTTTAGAGCTTATTATTATCTATATTATATCTATAGAGCATTTGTCAAATGACTGTAAGAATGTTGTATTTGAGCTACAAATCTCTGTATGCATTTGGCACTGAGGTCATATATGTTAATTCTCCAAAAGAGATGCTTGTTCCTGCAATGACATCAATATATTTTAACTTCTTTATATTTTTAAAAATTATTTAAGTTTCCACACATGAGTTTCTTAAGCATCCCTGACAATTCTGACTGATTTGTGGATAAAGTAGAAATATTAAACCTAACAAACAGTTGGAACAATTTCCAGGCTAAGCTATATTTTATTCTCATTCTGAGTGTCTAACAGTCCATATGCTTTACATCTTATTTATTTGTGCCTAATCTGATTATGCATAGTTAAATAATTTCAAGGTACATCTCATATTTCCTTATACCTCATAATTAAAAATAAATTTGTGAACTATAGAAAAACTACTTTTAGTGATTCATGAAATAATGTTTTACTACACAAATATAAGGCAGTGACCAAAAGGAAGTCACACCCCTGAAAGCAGCAAATGGGTCTGCATTGTGTCCACAGAGGTGGGCTATAATCCCCTGGTGAGCATCTCCTATAAATGTCATGTATAGAATGCACACTTATCCTAAGGCAACTTTTCTTTTCAACTACTACCAACAAAATAATATTTCTATTTCCAGAAATGCAAATGTTTTGACAAAAGAACCAACCAACCCAATGTAGGAAGTCATCTATCATCTGGGTCTTATATTTGCTTGTCAGAAGGGAGCTCTGCTGGCTAGAGGCTATAGAAGAGGGGATGTGTGAGAGGAGAAATATTATGAAGACCTTGGTTCTTGAAGTCAATCAGTTCCTTCTCCCTTACACACCAACCTGCATCCTCAACATAGCATAAGTAAAAGACCAATAAACTAGAAAAATAGCAATATTTTTAAGATCCACTCATGGTGAGCAATATTTATTAAGCAAGCATCCATGATGATGTGATGAACCCTACAGTACCACTCCTTGAAGTTCCTTATAAATGGTATCTGATCTCCATCATATTTATCTTTCTAATTATGCTTTCCCCCAACCAATATAAAAACTAGTTCATAGGGCCGGGGATTTAGCTCAGTGGTTTCGCCACCTCCTGTACAAGTGCAAGGACCCGAGTTTGATCCCCAGTACCAAAAAAAATTAGTTCTTAGTGCCAAAACACACAACAGTGGGTAGACAAGGGAAGAGGAGTTCTGGGAACTGCTCAGAGTGAGCCAGGATTAAATTGTACTCAAGATAACAAAGAGCCACACACAGAGCAATTATCAGACTGGGCAGGGCATGTGAATCATGCATTGTGGAACAACTGCTATGACCTGGGACATGATTTCTCTTATCTCTTCCCGACTTCCCAGGTCATAGGGATTTCCTTATTAGCTCAACTACAGTGGCTATTGGCTAGGTTGAGAGTTTGTTGGATGAGTTGACTTATTGAGAGGGTTATGCAGCTTGCTGGTGCTTAGATACATTATCATTTGATACAGTGAGATATCCTCATTTTATTTCTTAAAAAATTAATTACATATATATATGTGTGTATGTGTGTATAATATTTATTTTAGAAAAAATGAATTAAAATTAATTTCATCAGGAGAATTTCACAGCGTCCTTTTTAGACCATAGAATCTGTATTCTGGGATGGCCAGAAATAGTGGCTAGGGAGGCAGCCTCAGAACCCTAGTTAAATGTCACTGAAATCACTCAATATACAAGAAAAGCAGGCCTTAACTTTGGGTTTTCTCCTCAGGCAGTGATGAGCTGAAGCCAGAACAACAGCACCCTCTCCCTTCCTACCTGGAATATAGGCACAATGCCTCCATTCGAGTGTATCAGACCAATTATTTTGCCAGCAAATGTGTCGAAAGTCCGGACAGCAATTCCAAGAGTTTTAACATTAAGCTTGGAGCAGAGATGGACAGCCTAGGTGGAAAATGTGATCCCAACCAGCAAAAATTCTGTGACGGACCACTGAAGCCACATACTGCCTACAGGTTAGATATATTATCATTATTTTATTACAAGAGATGCCCTTTATTACTAGGTGCTCAGTTGTCTGAATATTTGCTGCCTATGAGCTCCTGTAAACTAACAGCCTATGTTACAAGAGTACTATATATCTTCCAGGGTAATTTATAAAAGTCAGGTTCCCACCTCCATTCACGGGCAATGTTTAAAGAGGTCTTTCAGCGTTGTACAAAACCCTTATGTGAAGAATGAAAGCTTTTAATAGATTATTTTTTCTCCCACAACTTCTTTAATGTGAGTCAAATAGTTTATAATGTTAACAATTGTGAAAATACCCAAAAAGACTGAGTTTAGAGAAACCCAAACAATATGAGGGTATGGCCTCCACTTTAATGAGGGGTAGGATTATACTTATTTTCCTCCTAAGGTGTGCAAAGATGAAAGTGTTCTGTGATCCAGACAAAACCCTTAAGAAGACAGGGCCTCTGAATGAATGGGGGCACATTTCCCTCCCCGTGAGATGGCAGACAAAAGAAGGAGCTGTTTGGCTTTGGTCCCAGGAAGCACCACTGCAGCCAACAGACCCTCCTGGTCCTAGAAATCAGTGATCTCTTTTCTGCACTGTGTTCCTAGAAAGCAAGTAGAAGCAAAAGTACATATCATCCCAAGCAGAGTTCTCAAGAGAAAGGCAACCGAGGCTATTGTCTGGGATACAGGCATCTAAGATTATTACTTCTGCAAAGGATATATATGCCTTCTCTCTTGGGTGTTGGCAGAGCTAATATGGCAGCCAGTGTCCATTCTGGTTGGTCAATGCCAAGGTCATATTGACTCAGTGGAAAAAACACTTCTGCCAGTTCCAAGAGGAGACCCTGACATAACACCACATTTAAGAGAATTCTTAGGGCCGGGGATTTAGCTCAGTGGTTCTGGTGCCTGCCTCACAAGTGCAAGGTCCTGAGTTTTATCCCCGGTACCAAAAAAAAAGAGAGAGAGAGAATTCTTAGCCCCTCCTTTACATCAAGAAAGGCAGCCTATTTCCCTAAACAAAAGATTCACTTTCAGCAAGAACTCTGCCTGCCTGCCTCTCCCCAGGACTCACCACAATCTTGCTGTTACCTCCCAGGCAAGGTCAGCACCTCCAGAGTAAACACACATATAAACTTGTTAGTGATATTTAATTCAAGAAGAGAAAGTAAGAGCCTATTTGAAGGAGATAAGGTCTCAAAGAAAGAGGGAAATGCAAGAGAGATCAGAAAACAAGTCCTTCAGATCATAAAACTGGGAGTCTTCCATTCCTATAAGAATCAAGAGGAGCCTCCCATCCTTGGTTACTTGAGATCACGAAATCTGAGTGAAAGTCCACCAAGAACCATTTTCTCTTTTAGAGGTGGAAAATTGAGGCCTTCTTGCTCATTTACATGTAGAGAGTGGAGAGACGACACTAGTTCACCTTTCTTAGAAGGGCACATTTTAACTAAAGAAAATACTTCATAGGTTCTTTTTGGCATACTTGTATTGCCAGCATTACGACTCTTGCACTTTGGTGCCATTGTTAAATAAAATAAGGGTCACTTGAACACAAGCACTGTGATCCCACAACAGCCACTCTCATAACAAGATGACTATTAAGTGACTAAAAGGTGAGTAAACATACATGGCAGGGAAATACTGGACAAAGGGGTGATTTATATCTTCAGTGGGATTGAATGTGACAGTGTGAGGTTTCATCATGCTACTCAGAGCAGCACAAAATTTAAAACTGATGAAGTGTTTATTTGTGCAATTTTCCATTTAATATTTTTAGAATGATGTTGACTGTGGGTAACTGAAATAGCAGAAAATGACACTGTGAATAAGGGAGGGAGAAACTGTACTACATTTCACAGAGAAAGCAAGTAAGAAACTATGTACAATTTGTTTCTGGATCAGATCCTGCCAATCCCCCTCCACACATCCTTTCCTGTCCACAGTAACTGCTGAGGTCTTTGGAAATGCCCCAGCATTTGAGTTCTAGCTTTGTTACTTTCTAGCTATGTAGCTTTGTAAGCAGCATTTCAGCTCTCTAATCTTTGCTTTCATCTTCAAATCATCACAGGGTTGTCCTGAGGGGTAAAGTATAAGATAGATTGAGTTTTCTTGTGTCCCTTGTGGATTAAGTGCTTCTTGTGATTTGTATTCACTTACAATAGCTCATCTACCATTTGTGCCAGTACTCCCTTCCCTCTTGCCACTTCTCACTCCTCCAGATTTCCTCACTGCCACATGGCTCTCTTGTACCCCTAGCCCTTTCCATCTTCTTTTCACTATCTTTGGGACCCTTCCCACTCCTCTGGCTGGCTCTACTTCTGCTTTTACCTGTGCTTTTTAACCCTTTATCAAATTATCTGCCTCGTTCACTAGACTGAGAGAAATTATAGTGTAATAGGAGCCACAGAGATGTCATGGAATAGAGAAAAATACATCAAGTACTTAGCACAAAAGAGGTGCTCATGAAATATCAATGAATAAATAAAGGAGTGAGACAACTCTCTGAGAAAGTTACACATTCTTTTCATAACCAATTCATGATATACATACTAGTTTTCTAGAATGCAGCTTTCCTATATTTCTAAAATATATGTTTGGTTCTACCTGTTAAGAGCCTGCCAGGCAGATAATACTTGTTAAGGGAAGGCATAAGCTTTCAAATCAAAACATGTGAGAGAGCCATATACTAAGACACCTCTTGTGTAGTGGCTGCTGAACATGCTTCAATGCAGCTAGAATAATTCTGCCTGTCTCAAGTTGATAATCACCAGGGTGACCCCAGACACTGCCAGGTATCTTTTTTTTTTAAGGGAATAAGTAAATAAATGAGAAATAACACAAAAAATGAAACATTGGGATTAAAAAAGGTAAATACTAGGTTTAGGTGATATACAACTTTATTTTGTCAATGAAGTGTGTTCCCATTCATTTTTGGGTTCCTATTATCCGTATGTATCATTAGCCTTGTTCCATATGGACAAGGAAATAGAAGATTATCATGGTGAGTGGCAATTTGGAGGTATGAAAATGCTGATTTGGTTTTGCTTTTATTCTAAATAGAATAACAAGGCAGCCACAGTAAAGTGGTCAGCTTCCTTGACCTCATTTTCCTCAAATGAAGAGAAACTGAACCATATGATCTCTAACTTACTGCTGTAAAATTCTGACTCTGACAGATTTAAAGTTGAAATAATTATTATCACATGCCAACTCCTGAACTTCTCATTTAATACACAATGACTTCCTGTTGTCCTTTGAAGACATTTCCCAATCATTTCCAGGATCTTTAGGAATGCATATTATAGATGTGGTTGATCAACATAATCAATATCTGGAACCAATGATGTTCATTTTCAAAGATTACAATTGGACCTGGGTGTGTGTTAGAACAAAGGGGTGAAGGGTCAGAAGTATTTGTCCTGGCTCAGTACTGCTCTAGCATTATCACAGCACACGCCCAGATACTTTTGAATTACATAGTTTTTTTTTTTAATAAGGAAAAGGAAGTCTAACATTTGTGTTCATAGAATTAAATTAACACAAGTAGAAATTGTCTTACATAAGCCAAGCTTAATGCTCTATTGGTAAACCTATAGTCGAATCTTTTTTGGTACTGGGGATTGAACTCGGGTCCTTGTGCTTGTGGGCCAGGCGGCAGCATTACTGAGCTAAATCCCCGGCCCAAAGAACCTTGAAGATAGAAGGAATTCAAGAAGTTACCTGAAACAGTTTGTAACTTAGGGTAGGGATGCCCTCTTACAACTTAGCTGAGAGCTCCCCCTGATCAAATCCACCTGATGACTGGGAGCTCACTACCTAAGAAGCAGCCCAGGCTTCAGATGTTAGAGAACAGTTATATGTTCCTAACCTTCTCCTTGCCTATGACTTCCACCTAGTTCTACCTTCAAGAGGAAAAATAATGACATCTCTTTCCTCTTCTATATTGCAACTTCCCTTAAATCTGAGGTCATCTGTCATGTTCTTCTAAGTCTTCTGTCATCATCCTAATCACTCACCTCAGATGATTTCTAATTCTCCCTAAAATTTACCAGCAGAGATTGAGCTCAGTCCTCCAGACTGGCCTGATTCATGCCAAGAACATAAGATACATGTGTTATGATAGGATCCGAGGCTTTTCATTCACACAGAGGTTATTGGTGTAGCAGGGCCGGGGATTTAGCCCAGTGGTTCCGCTGTCTGCCTCAAAAGTGCAAGGTCCCGAGTTTGATCCCCAATTCCGAAAAAAAAAAAAAAAAAACCAAATCTGGTGTAGTACCTGTATCTCACTTGCTTATTGAATTTAGGACCAGCTGATCATCAGGCACTGTCTGACAGGGACAGATGGACAGATACTTCAGCAGCTCTCCTGTCTGCTTGTAATCCTTCCCCTATCTAGCTCCAGCTTTCATCATTCTTGCAACTGAAGATCCCTCTACCTGGAATGTGAGCCTGGTCCCCCCCTCTCTTTCCTCATATTTTTATCCATATGTCTTCTTATCAAACAGACCTTCACTGACCACGCTGAATAAAGCAGTTTCACATAGTTGGTCTTCATTGCTTTCTAGCTTCTTTATGTTGCTCTTTTCTTTTTCATAAAAAAAGACATCACCATCTGACATATATTTGTGGATTTTTTATCTAACTTCCTCAATGGGAATGTGATCTCTGGAATGAAGGGACTTTATTTGGTTCCTAGCAGTATCTCCAGCTCCCAAAATTGGGACTGGCACACAGCAGGAGTTCAATAAATATTTGATGAATAAATCAATGAAAGAATGCATGGACATAGATCTATCTGATTGCATAATTTTTATCCCACCCTGTATACAAAGTTACCAGGTACCGGGCTGGGGATTTAGCTCAGTGGTTCTGGCGCCTGCCTTGCAAGCTCAAGGTCCCGAGTTTGATCCCCGGTACCAAAAAAATAAAACAAAGTTACCAGGAACCCATACCACTTGTCCTTGTACACATTTTTACTGTGCTCAGTCACTAATTGCACTTACGTAAATCTATTTTTTTTTTTTCTCAGAATCAGCATTCGGGCATTTACTCAGTTATTTGATGAGGACCTGAAAGAGTTCACAAAGCCCCTCTATTCAGACACATTTTTCTCCTTGCCTATCACCACAGAGTCAGGTAAGGCTAACCTTTCAAGCCTCCCACATGCCTCGTGAAAGAACCTCTAGGGAGAGATCCAGTGACTTGGCCAGTGATAGGGGAAACATTTATTTTCATTTGGAACTTAATCTTTATGTGATTGTGGATTGATGTGGACTAGAGAAATTGCCCTATTTTTGCAGGAAAATGGACTATAAGGTGATTAATCTAGAAAATAAGATGAAGTACAAAATTTTTTCTATTAAAAATGAATTTTTATTCAGTCTCCAGCACCTTAAAACAAAACAACAGAAATAAAAACAAAAATTGAAACTTAAAAATAAAACAATGACTGAAAGACATTAAAACCAAGTGCTTGCAGAGTCAAAATGATGCAAAAGCTTTCAGTTAGAAGTTGGAATTATATACGCATATACAGTTGGCCACCTGTTTCCACAGGTTCAACACTGTGTATCAAAAACAGTAGAGAGAAAAAAATCTGTCTGTACTAAATATGTAGAGTTTTTCATGACATTATTCTCTAAATAGTATAATAGCTATTGACATAGGATTTATGTGTTTAAGTATTATATGTAACCTAGAAATGTCTTAAAGCATATAAGAGGTTATACGCAAATATTATGGTTATATGCAAATATTATGCCATTTTATACAAGGGATTTGACCATCCATGGATTTTGGGGTAGGGGGCATCCTCGAATCAATGCCCCTCAGATACTGAGGGACGACTGTACACAGCAAAAAAGACTACCAAAAATCCCCCACAGTACTGATGTTGAATATCTCTAAGTAGTGGAGTTATAGGCAATTTTCCTTCTTTTGCTTAATGTGTTTGCTTTCCCACTATTTAAAAATGCAAACTTAGAGGGCTGTGAGTGTAGTTCAGTGGTACAGCACTTGCTTGGCATGCATCAGGGCCTGAGCTCAATCCCAGTATACAAACCAATAATAATATTTTTAAAATTAAAATATTACTTTAAAAGGCTTTACATAAATTTATGCAAGAAACTTTTCTAGTGTGTTAGAGGGGAAGTCTGAGTAATAATAGTAGCTAATATTTTCTGGTCACCTTCTCTGTGGAGCTACAGTTGTAAGCATTGTACGTACAATAAATTATTAAGTTATCACTGCAACCTTTGGAGGTAGATGCTATTATCATTTAAAAATGAGGACCTGAGGCACCAAGAGGTCATGTAACTTGCCAAGATTGTATAGCTACTTTCTCCCTGGGCATACAGTCTCTGCCTGCATTGCACTGTTTGGATATGTCCATCATGCCAAGAATAGCACCGCTTTCATCACCTTGTTTCTTGACACTACTGCCCATCGCAACTTTCCCTCAGCCAGGATGCTATGCCGAGTCCTTTGGTCTGGAGGAGTTCTTTAGAGCTGAAACAGTCTCTCTTGCTGCATGACAACACATGGCTGAGCCTCACAAAGATCCCTATCTACTTATGCCAAATACAGGGCTAATCTCCCACTTCTCAGGCCAAAGAAGGATCAGAGCCCAGTTAAGAGGATTTAGATGTATTTGCCTATAATTTAATGTTAAGTAGGGACTCTGTAAACATAATTATTTTATATCTGAAATATTGTTATACAATAAAAATCATATTTAGTTCCGTAAAGGGATACCTTAAAGATACATTCAAACAGAATACTAAACACATTAAAACAAAAATGACTGTGTTGATTTTTTGAGTATGGAAAAGCAACATGCAATAAATAAATCCAAGTTCTTAAAACAAAAAGCTTCAAAAATGGGCTCCGTCATAGATGTAATGTGAGAGGTAAAATGTAACATTTTTAAAAGAAAACATAGGAGTAAATCTTCAGGATCTGAGATTACAAAATGGTTTCTTTTTATTGATATAATAAAATGCATGATTATTTTCAGTTGCAATCTAGAAATCACTAAACAAAGAAATACAGCAATATTTACCAGAGTTCATGGTAGTAGACAATACACTATTGAGTATCACACACCCTTACAAAACACCTGTTGTATAACCAAACTTGTGGTTTAAATATTATGTCTTAATATTAGTCACACACAGACACATAGCTACTCATGTCCTTGAACCTATGCACCTGAGATGTGTGACAGTATTAAAGAATAGCTTTAGTTTCTTAAGTAAAAAGCCAAAAGAACAAGCAACAAAATAAAAAAGATAAATTGGAGTTAATTGAGAATAAAGGCTATTGTATTTCCAAAGGATGTCATCAAGTAAATGAAGAGACAACTCACAGAATGGAAGAAAGTATTTGCAAATTGTTTACAGTATTTGGTAATGGTTGTGTACCCAGAATGTAAAAATAATTCTTACCTTACAAGTCAATAATAAAAAGACACATGACACAATTTAATATTTTGCAAAAGATCTAAATAGACATTTCTCTGAAGAGGTGCAAATGACAAATAAGGATATAAAAAGATGTCCAACATCATTAGTCATTAGGAAAATGCAAATCAAAACCACAGTAACACCAACCCTGAGTAGCTGAGCCTTTCAGGCCACCATACCACCTCCCCCAGTGCCGAGGAGCAGAGCCCACCCTAGCAATGAGGACGTGGGCCCAGCAGGTGCCAACAGCACCTCCCATGTATTGAAATGAGAAGATATGTAAACAAGTCTTAAAACCAGATTTCCAGATCACCTAAAGCAACCCTAAAGGGAAACAAGAGGGACCAATCTGATACTCAACTACTTGGACTCCCTGAACCTGCAAAAAATGAAATCAGAAATAATTTCTCACATAACAGCAGAGACTGTGCCCATAGTAAAACACATGATTAATAAATCTAGAGAGGACACAGATAAAAAAATTAAGGAGCCAAGGAACATGATGGAAGCCCAACATAGGAAACAAATGAAATGCATAAAACAGATGCAAACAGATTTCCAGGAGATTAAAAACTCCATTGAAAGTTTACACAGCAGAATGAGCCAATGTGAGGACAGAATTTCAGATATAGAAGATAAGATTGCAAATAGTGACCAGGAAAAGAAAA